ATAATTCAATTTCTAGACCTCCCTTCCTTCACTTTGCATTTCCAGCCTCACAGTTTCTTCTGAACAACGTGGTTTTTTACCAAAGACTTGCGCTTCACTTCATGTGGGCATTCTTTGCTTCCTTCATTTAGAGGAGTGCATGCTCTGGAAGCTTCTTGAAAATAGTCCTAGGGGGGAAAGGTTTTTGGTGCCTTGCCTATCTGAAGAAAAAACTGCACGTCTGGCCCAGGGGAAGTATGTAGTACTTTACACTACATGTCTTAATGAAGTGCCTTTTTTAGAATTTGAAGTTACTGTTTGACTTGTTTTCTAGCTTCCAGCTTTGTTGAAAAGACTAATGCCATTCAGATTCTGAAAAGCAGTTAACCTATCATTTTACCCAAAAAAAAAAAAAAAAAAAAAAAAAAAAAAAAAAAAAAAAAAAAAAAAGGCCTGGGTTTTAGATATCTTACTTTGACTGCCTTTTTTCTTCTTGGACATTTTAGTTTTAGGTTTTTTTTTTTTTTTTTTTTTTAAGTCTCTATTGCTTTTTTAAAATTTCATAGTGATATACTCTTACATGGCTGTTTTATTTTTATAGTCGTTCATTTTCTATACTGATTAACCATAGCTCAGAAAGATATATTGGATTTCCTCCTTCCTCAGCTCTGTGGTTCTGTTTAATTGGATAGTAGTGCACCTGAACTGATCTTATTTTATTATCTGCCTCCTTGACTTTTGGTCCTACTTCCTGGCAGACTGAAGAGCTGTGTGGAGTTGTGGTGAAGGACTCTGAAGCCAGAAGTTAGAATCCTCTTGTGGCCTATTCATATATATATCCATCCCCATCCGTCCATGTTCTTAGCCTGTCTGTTTTTGTCTTTAAGGGGTTAAGACTGAATTCAAAGCATGCTGGCATAAATTGATAATCTAGATAGTTTTCTGATACACAGTAAATGTTAGCTATCATTAGTTGACTTTAGTATTAACCTTAAATTAAAAGCTCATCTTTCTGTGTAAATTTTTAATTCCATAAATTTTTTGAACTTTGATTTTGTGTGTGTGTATTTGAGTCACATATGCCATGGTGTGTGTAGAGATCAGAGGACAACTCTGTTGCGTCTGTTCTTGCCTAAGTTCAGAGGATTCAGTACAAGTCCCCTCAGGCTGCCAGTCAAGGGCCTTAACCTGCTGAGTCATCTCACCAGCGTTAAACGCTTTCTTCCATTTCTCTATCACTGTTTTCTAGCTGTTCCTTCTTATTTCATGGATGCAGTGTCATCTTGACTTATTATAACTGGACAGTTGAGAACAATTTGGGGGAAAAGCCTTTAAACATATAAGATGGAAGTCAAAGGATTTGGATTGTTCATGTTTCCTTTGTATTATTTTATGTTTGCTTACATGTTAAAGGCATTTTCTAAATTCCTCATAATTATATACAAATTATATTTGACAGTAGTTTACATTTGTGTATCCTGTCCTCAGTATGTCACACCAAGGAAAGCTTGGTGCTGTTTAGAAATTTTGCCCGCTTAAAGAAACTACCGAATTGGGGCTTATTTGTATTGATTTTTAAAGAGTTCTTAGCATAGTAAAGATAGTGCCCATTTGTTTTTGATAGATAATGCAAATTCTTTGTCAGCCATCTTTTGAATTTGCTTCTAATGTATTTCTCTGTGATACTTTTTTTTTTTTTTTTTTTGCATTATGCCTAATAGAAAAGTTTCTTAAAAGCCCTGATTGATGGTTTTTGTTTGCTTGTTTGCTTGTTTTTGTTTTAGACAGGTTTTCTCTGTGTGGTTCTAGCTGTTCTGGCCTCCTTTCTAGACCAGGCTGTCCTCTGATTCACAGAGACCTGCCTGCCTCTGCCTCCAGTGCTGGGATTAAAGGCACAGGCTGCTGCCACAACCACCTGGCTGATGTTTATTTTTCTTAGTAGGTATAGGAAGAAACTGTGAAGATGGTTCTTTTTCAGTGTGAGATTTTTCTTTATTCCTGTTCTCTTCTTTTTCCACGGTCCTAGTTTGGTCTAATGTTGCAGTAAGAAATACTGTGACCAAAAGCAACTTGGAGAGGAAAGGGCTTATTTCAGCTCAGTTATGTTGCGTCATTGAAAGGAGCCAAGGCAGGAGCTTGAAGGAGAAACCTCAGAGAAATGCTGCTTCCCAGCTTGCTCAGTTACCTTTCTTATGGCAGCCATAGTGGACTGGACTTTCCTGCATCAATTAGCAGTTAAGAAAATGTCAAAGACATGGCACCAGCCAGTCTGATCTGAGCATTTCCTCAGCCGAGGTTTCCTCTTCAAGGTAACTGTAGGTTGACAAGTGACGCTAACTATGACTCCTGGTGCCTGGTAGAAATGCTGAATTTTGTTGGTTCCTTTCCCAGTAAATGTCGTATTTTCCTGCTATAGTATCAATTTCTCAGCACTTTTATGTGGAACAGACACTATTCTGGGCTAACTGGCTGTTCTCCCTACCCAGATTTTGAAGTACTGTTTTTCCAAGGAGCTCTTTCTTGTGTAGGAGTGACTCATAGAAACTCCAGTTTTCAAACATTATTTGATGTTGTAAGCCCTGAATTGGAGCCTGGAGGCCATACATTTTACCCTCATGCATCATTGTTAGGGAAAGTCCTTGTGTTTGCATCTTGGCCTTTAAGAATTATGAAGCAAGACTTGGCCACTGATACCTTCTGTGTCAGCTCCTTCTTATATTTTCTTGCTCTTTTGCTGTTGACTTATCTCAAGTTCTTCACTTTTCTTTTTTGAAGTTTTATTTACTCTAGTGGATTAGTGGATTGAGAAGTGGAGAGAAACAAATACAACCAGTGCTCTTAACTGCTGAGCCATTTCTCCAATAAGTAAGTAAGTAAGTAAATAAATAAATAAAACATTTTAAAGTTTAGACTGGTGTGTTTCACTTAGGGAAACAGAATTCAATGAGTAGCATGAGAACTCTTTTCCATAGCTTTATATAGTTTCTCCTATATAAGCTATGATTCTAGTCTAAGTCAACAGGCTGCCTGTGACTTTGACCTCAAAGTTGAAAGAAGACAGTTCCCATAAGAACCTGTATATCCTAGAGTAGATATAGAATGTCTCTTTCATCACTGGTTACTGATCTCTCAGAGTGCTTCTTCTGTCTACACATCTGCTCCAGGGTGTCCTGGAGGCCCTCCTTCTAGAAGCCTTGGTGTCTGTCTTCTCTGTTCAGCTTCTGTCTGAGCCACCGTGAACACTCTAAATTGTTTTGTGCTTGTGGTTTTTACTTCTAGCTGGAGGAGTCTTACATCCAGGAGAAACTGATCACTCTGGTCCTTCATTTTGCTTTATTTTGGATTTTTCCTAGCCAAACTATAAATTGCCTATCTGAGGTCAAAGGTTTCCAGATCTTTTGCTCACCTTAAAGTGTGAGGGTGGAAAAAATAGTGGGACAGCAAGATGTGTGATCACTGCCTAAGCAATAGGGAACCAAGGTGAGAGACTGTCTAAGTGGAGATAGATAGCCTTCTCCCATTTAGTGTTTTCATTTGATTTTAATAGAGCACTTTGCAAGTATTAGTCCACACTGAATATTGCAGGAAAGAACCTAGCATTTAAGTATGAAAACTGACTGCAAGTGATTCCTTTGGTTTGTTGCTATTTTTCATTTGTATGATGACTTAGTATCATATGGCAGAAAGGCCACTTACTATAATGTCAGTTCTACATTATTCTAATGAAGTACCCAAGCGTGGCTGATTTCATAAGGCTGCTTTAGCCCACATTTCTGGAGGCTCATAGAATTGGCACTGATAATGTCTTCATGGTGATTGGCACCACAGTGGCAGATGTGCATTAGGAGGTGAGACATTACTTTGTCTGACAAGAAGCCAGGGAGCCATTAAAGTCTCAGGCTGAGACTTCTATAATAACTTGCTCTTGGGAAACTTGCTCTAGAGTCCCATAAGAACTGCTTTAAGTTTTGGAGCATATGTCCTCAGTGACCCAACACCCCACATACTAGAATCTCATTGTAAAGGGCTGCATGTCGAAAAAGTTGATGTCGAAGCTTTGAACATAGAAACTCTTTGAGGTGCAAACACAAAACATTCCTAAGTGTAGTAGTGGATAATGTAGACCTTCAAGACTTATAAACATGCTTTTGCTCTTCCTAAAACTTTTGCGTTTATCAGGTATGTGTTTAAAATACTGGGCAGGTAGAATATTTGCCAAGGTATTGTCTATGTTACTTTTCTGTTGATGTGAAGAGACACCATGACCAAGGCAACATATAGAAGAAAGAGTTTATTGAGACTTACAGTTTCAGAGGGTGAGTCCATTGACTGTGGTGAGGAGCATGGCAGTGGCAGGCAGGCATGGCACTGAAGCAGTAGCCACGAGTTTACATGCTGACGCAACAATCTAGCTAGCTAGGAATGACATGGGCTTTTGAAACCTCAGAGCCCACCCCCAGTGACACACATTTTTCAGTAAGGCCATGCCTCCTGATCCTTCCCAAACAGTTCTATCAACTGGGGATCAAGCACTCAAACAGGAGCTTGTGGGAATATTCTCATTTAAACCAACACTAGTACTGTGTAGCTATAAAGAATGTGACTACTGGGTCAAATTGGGAAAGATTATTTTCACAAAGATGATCAGCATAGAAAGCTATTCTAACATGAAATTGTGTGTGTGTGTGTGTGTGTGTGTGTGTGTGTGTGTGTGTGTGGAGAGAGAGAGAGATTTAAAAATGAGAATAATCTAAGTAATAGAACTAAATATTGGGAATTTAGGTAGAGCTCATTTTTTTTCTCATTATACTTGTTTAAGATAATGGGACAATTTTTATGCACTGATTTAAATCATATGATTCTAGTTACAAACCTTTTCCCCCCAAATTGAGTTGTAAGTACTGTAATTCATTATTATAAGTCTAATATTGAAGTTGTAAATGCTTTTGGTCTATGTCTTTTAAAAACTATAGTTTGATATTCAGAATAGTTAAATAACCTGGGTTTCCTTTATGTTTTAGGATTTAAATGCCCGGTGTGCTCAAAATTTGTACCCTCAGATGAAATGGATTTGCATCTTGTGATGTGTTTAACAAAGCCAAGAATAACCTATAATGGTAAGTTGAGTGCCTTAAAATAGCATTTCAGTCTAGCATTACCATAAATAATGTGAATTTCATGTCTGAGGCAAAATTTAAATGGCAGGAAGGGCTCAAAATCTCATCTTAAGATACCTTTATATGTGTAAAAAATCATCTGTTAATTGGGTTATATCTACCAATAATTGAAAATAAGTACATTTTCTAAGACATTTAATGGCAAGAGTGGCGTTGTCTTGTATTTCCTTTGAACCTTACTATCTGGCGTAATGACGGAATTATCACATCTTTTCTACACTTAGTTTTCTTGGAGTAAGACAGATCAGATGTCCTGGAAAATTCCACTGGTACATAGGAGAGAGTGAGAATGAAAAAGGCAAATTATGTTACCATAAAAATAGTTTTAGCCAGGTAATGGTGGCTACACCTTTAGTTCCAGCACTGGGAAGCAGAGGCAGGCAGATCTCTGTGAGTTGGAGGCCAGCCTGGTCTACAGAGTGAGTTGTGGGACAGCCAGGCTTATACACTACACAGACCCTGTTTCTGGGGGAGGGGAGATGCCTTGGCCTAAATGAGAAGAATGGCCAATACCTAGACCTCCTCATGTCTCTACTCTATAAGATTGTTGGTTTACACTTTGAAAACTGCTGTGCTGACTGAAATCTTTTAGGTAAGGTATAAAGAAAAAGCAATGTTTGTGATGACTCTGTTCAGGAAAAAAAAAATAATTAGGAATATAGAACGATTGAGGGACCAAAGAGATTTCACAGTGGTTAGAGCACTTGTTGCTCTTCCAGAGGACCTGGGTTCAATTCTTGATACCCACATGGTGGCTCACAACTCTGTGTAACTCCAGTTCCAGGGGACATGACAACCTCTCTTAGCCCCTGTGGGCACAGCATACATGTGGTGCACAGACATACATACAGGCAAAGCATCTATACACATAAAAATAAATAACTCTTAAACAAATCTGTAATAAATGATACATTGTTAAGAGTAGGGATTTTTTTTTCATAAATATAATTGATAGACAAGTAATGGGAGAAAATAAATGCAGGAAGTAGAGACTGAAGCTTTACTGTCACCATGTACCTATCTATCAACCCACAGATAAACTTCATTCTTGCACTAACTGGCAGTTGCTTTAGGTCTGGTGTGTTGGACTAGGGTATTCTATCTTGACCCTAGTAATACAGTCTTCAGTGTCAAGTGGAATAAATTTGGAAATTAAAAATAGTTCCCATAAGAAAAACAAACTTCAGTTGGATTTTGTGGTGCTTGCCTATAACTTCATGGCTGAGACTAAAGCCAGCCTGGGCTATTTATGTACTAATATCCTGCAAAGAGATAAATAGATAGGAACTTAAAAAAAGAAGAAAAGATATTCAAAGTTTGAAATTTATAGATGTAAAAGTGAGTTTGAAATCAAGTGAGTGGCAAGAATACCAGTAACTGGCAAAATCTGTCGGTAGACTGCCTATCTTCAGCAGCTGTCTTTTGGGTCCTAAGACACTTACTGTGATACCATGAGTAAGATAGAGCTTATCTACCAACAGGAATGAGATAAATATATTCTTCAGATAACTTTGCCAAGTGGTTTAGGAAGACTCCCCTCAAGGGAGTGTTTCTAGCTTTAGTATCACTGTGGCAACAAAGCATTTCTTTCCATTCATTTATCAGTGTATAAGCGGAAATAGCTTCTGGCAGTTACTTTGAATAGCAATATATATGTTAGTTATATCCAAACCTTTTTGTCTTTTGAAATTGTCTTATTTACATAATCCAGTTGAAATTCAGTTACTTAAAAATTTTCATTCAAGCCCAGAATTCGAGGCTAAAAGTAGATAGGTTTGTTTCCATTCTTGCTCCATTGTTCTGCCATTACATTTCATACTTATGTTTGTTATGTAGCCTTGAAAGAATTATTCTTTAATATTAACCCCCGTTTTTTAAAAAGCATAATATGTTTGCACATAATCTCAGTATTCTGTACATTTAATTTTAACATAGCTAGAACATAGCATATGTTGTAGTATTTGACAGCTTTTCATTTCCTGATTTAACTGTGTTTAGTTATTACACTTGTCTACTAGATTGTCTCAAAGTGTAACTAAATACAGTGGACTCTTGTCTTGTTGAGTGCTAAGCCAATAAGTACAACCAAAGAATGGAGAGAGGCTTGTAACTTGGAACAAGAGAGCACTGGTGTTATTCCCAAAGCAGTGCCCTCTAAATAGTAGAATATTTAATAGTATAAGGAATAAGACTTATTGTAGGTTGCCTAAAGAAATGAATCAGAGTGACTCTGTGACCTAGTGAGCCCTCTAAATATCCCTGTAGAGTTTTAACAAAACAAAACTCAAAGCAATTTAAAAGGTATGGTAGCAGTCTTTTTTAAAAAACAGCAGCCTTCTCCTCAAAGGTCAAGAGTTTGCCACTAAATGCTACCTGTGCTACTTAGCAGTTATTGACAACAAAACAGACACACACACACAAACAAACACACACACACACACACACACACACACACACACATCTCTTGCACACAAAGTTAAAGCCATTCTGAAAAATAACTAGGCCTGGGTCTGTTTATAAACATTTACAACGAGAAGCAAAGCTGTCATAAAATTTTACGTAGTTTTTAACTTTAAAACTAGCCCATGGGTTGTGAAGGTGAAGAAGGTGGTTGTACTAATCTAGGTTACAGACAGGTATGGCACAAGCCACATGCCTGCCTATCTTGGGTATGGAGACTTCTAATCGTTTTAAAGGGAAAGCCCCTGAATACCACCTCTGACACTGGTGGTGAGTCTGGTTGGAGGTAACCTTTTTAATGCCTAAACAAAACATCTGTTATCTTATCATAAAGTGTAGAGCAAATGAGTCAATAATGACTTGAAGCCGAATCTTTTGGTCACGCGACTTTGTTTCATGTTTGAATTCCTAAGTATGGACACCAACTCAGCTAGGTGGGTGTTAATCACGTTAATGCTTAAACAAGAATTCTCTTTCAGTATACTTGTATATTGTAACTTGTATCTTGTCCAGACTTCCAGAAGAGGCTAGATCTGAAATTTTGAAATGTATTTGTAAAGTATATATTAACTAGCTACAAAAGTTTACACTTAGAACACTCAGGCTTGTTTTCAGATAGATGTATTTATAGAGGTACTCTGGGAGAGGGTTTTTCCAGACATGTGAATGTAAGCTAACGACTCAGCTTGAGATTCATCCTCAGAGATACTGTGCTTGCTTCTGTTGAGGAGCTTGGTCTGCCTGAGTCTGTCTGGATTCAGAGGACTGTGTCCTTGGTGTCTAGGTTCAGTTCTGTTGGGATTGATTCATGGCAGTTCTCCATGCTGTTTGTTCTGGCTTTTGTTAGTTAGGTTTTCAACAGCTGTGACAAAAATACCCCAAAAGCCAGCAAGAAAGGAGGAGACTGGCTTTTGACCATTGTTTCAGGTGGTGGTGCTTTGGCCTTTGGGAGGTAGGAGTATGTGACTATGTGACCAAGCTCTATCTTGGTGTCCTGGGAGCAGAGAATATATGAAAGGATGTGGTAGTGGTTCTGTTAGGCTCTTCAAGAGTGTGCCCAGCAATGACCCACTTCTTAACTACCATAATACCACACTGTGGGGACCAGGCATTGGCACACAGCTGTACGACATTTCATAACGAGATCTAACACTGGCTTTAGTGTGTCTGGGTTTTGTGGGCATGAAAGTGTCATTTGAAAGTGAATTATTACTGAGCGCTTCTGTGTGTTTTCTTGGCTTACTGAATCACGCATAAGCTTACTGTGGGGTAACATGACACTGAGTGGGGCATGCAGCTTTTCTTACTTAGTGTTAACCTGCTAAAAGGATGTTTGCTTTGAACTTGAATAATGTGTGTGTCATTTTCTTCTCTTTTAAAACAAAAAAGCAGCTTAATTTGTCTATTTTTGAAACAGATACTATAGCCTAGGCCAGCCTCAATCTGTCCTCATCTCTTGCCTTGGCCTCTCTAAGTACTGGAATTTTGAGTCTTTTTCTTTTTCTTTTTTTTTTTTTCTTTTTGCAGTTAGATTGTGTTGGTAGATTAATGGTGTAATTAAATTGTGTTAATTTCTGATGTTGCTGGATTTTTACATCATCATGGAATATTGCTACTGAGGTTACACACAGGCAAATGTTATGATTTGGAAACTCTTCCTTTGCTTTAAAGTCATCTGTATAATTTAGAAAGTTCTGCTCTCTTTGTCAGCTACAACATGGCTATGAATCCATCTACTCTTTTAAGGCAGACTAGCAGCAGTTTAATCAGTGCAGTCCTTTTCATTTCCTCAATGTATTCTGGGAATTTTGTTTGAAAGTAATTCTTTTCTATACCTGAGTGTGGTGGAGCAGTTACGTAATGATGGCACCCAGGAGGTAGAGGCCGGAGAAGCAGGATTTCAGGCCAATCTGGGCTACATGAAAGCCTATTTTAACCACTCAAAATAATAAGAAATAATATCTTCCTCTAAATTTTATATTTAATCAGTGTAACCTTTCACATGGTATTTTCTCACATTTTTTTTTACTCTTTACAATATCTTTGGGTTTTTTTTTTTATTATCATCTGTGCTTTAGTCAAGCTAAAATATTTAATTGATATATTCAAAGAAGATAATAGTTTTAAATGAGTCGAAAAATTTATTAATGCCAAGTATCAAATAGCCTATTTTTTTACTCTATATTTTAATAAAACATACATTTTCAATAGCCCTTACCAATTTAATATGCATTATTCCTTTTTCTAATTTCAAAGGTAATTTTGGTAGGGAGATATATTAGAAAGTCATTTGGATTATGATGTTACAGAGTATTGGCCATCTGTTTTTGAAATTCATTGGTTTATTTTTGATTTAAGTGTATTTTTGATTTTTGTAAATAATGATTATAAGCTGTCATAGTTTTAGCTGTCAACATGACACACACCTAGAGCCACTTGGGAAGAATGACCCTCAGCTAAAGAATTACTTTGATCAGTGT